GGTAGTGACAGCTAAAGGGTATGGAGTTTCTCTTTGAGGTGATAACACTGTTCTAATGTTGGCTGTAGTGGTGGTTACCTATATCTGTGAGCATCTAAAAACCATCGATTTGTACACTTTAAATAGTGAATTGTATGGTATGTGAGTTTTATCTCAAAGCTGTTGTAAAGCATAGTCAGAACACTATTTCTCTAAACTAGCTATCTACCAAAATGATACAACAATCATGAACTTTTTGTACCTAATAGCCTAGACTCGAAATAAGGAAAAGAAAAATGAACAAAACTTGCAGAAATTGATAATCTAAAATCATAGACTAAGTTTTTAATATTTTTCTAATGGATCAGTCAAAAATTTAGTAATATTGAATAAATCATAATAAGAAGATAAAGACCTAAATCTCTCTCTGTCGTGTATTTACATGTAAACACATCTGAATGGAGTAGGAAGACCTTGTATTGAACCACAGGTTCCAAAACCAATATTGCACAGATCCACTTCTCATATTGTTGGTTTGTAAGAGGGAAGTATCCTGCTTCCCTGCCCTTTTTTTCTTTTTACTGACAGGCAGAGTGGACAGTGAGAAGAGAGAGAGACAGAGAGAAAAGTCTTCCTTTTCCGTTGGTTCACCCTCCAATGGCCGCCGCGGCTGGCGCACTGTGCTGATCTGAAGCCAGGAGCCGAGTGCTTATTCTGGTCTCCCATGGGGTGCAGGGCCCAAGCACTTGGGCCATCCTCCACTGCACTCCCGGGCCACAGCAGAGAGCTGGCCTGGAAGAGGGGCAACCGGGACAGAATCCGGCACCCCGACCGGGACTAGAACCTGGTGTGCCAGCGCCGCAGGTGGAAGATTAGCCTAGTGAGCTGCGGCACCGGCTCCCTGCTCTTCTTACTGCATCCAAGTGGTTTATTCAAATTGGGCTGCTATGCCAGGATCTTCTCTGCCTTTGGCTAATAGGTTAGGTCCCAAGGCCCTGGTGCCTCTTTTCCAGGAACACCTGCAGCTGTTTTCCTTCATGATCCTGGAGCTGCCAGGACTTGGGACTCTTCTTCTGCTTCTCTCCTTGTGAAAAGGGCAAACTTGCTGCAGCAGAAAGAGTTCAGGAAAGTTTTTCAGTGGGTCATTTTTGACTACTAATTCATCATTCCTGACATTACTTTCCCACAGAGAATGTTGAAATAGTGAAATTTAATGTTCAGATCCCACTTTGCTGTTTCCTCTATTTTCCAATCTCAGAAATTCCCAGTCTTCCCTTCTGTAGGGAGGTGATTAATTTGAGGTATCTGCAATATTTTAATACAAACCAATTTTCTTGTTCACTGTAAGTTTTCTATAGTCGCTATGTATGCTGCTGTCTACTTCTTAGTGCAGAGTTTTTCAGGCTTTATGAGTTGCACAGGGCCTTCCCACTTTGCTCTGGAGGAAGAAAAGAAAGTGAGAGAAACTCCCATTTTTGTTGCTTTGGGACTTCCCTGTTAGCTCTTCTTTGAGAAAATGCCTGACTTCTAAAAAAAATCTTAAAAATATCACCTGATAAAAAACCATAGGCTTCACAAAATGTTAGCATTCCTTACTGTCTCACGTAGAAAACTGCCAGCAGGCCAACACTGGGGCACAATGGGTTAAACAACTGCCTGCAGTGCCAACATCCCGTGTCTGCTACCTCTGCTGCAGCTCCCTGCTAATGAGCCTGGGAAAGCAGCAAAAGTACTTGGTCCCTACTTCCCATGCGGGAGACCCAGATGAAACTCCAGACTCCTGGCTTCAGCCTGGCCTGGCCCTAGGTCTTTTGGCTTATTGGGGAGAGAACCAGTGAATGGAAGATCCCTTTCTGTCTGTCTGTCTCTCTGTATCACTCTGCCTTTCAAAGAAAAAAATCTTAAAAAAAAAAAATCATCAGCAGGTAACAATAGAGAACTTTCTTTAAAAAAAAAAAAAATTCAGGGTTGTAGCATAGCAGGTAAAGCTGCCACCTTTGATGGCCAGCATTCCGTATGGCCACTGTTTTGGGTCCCGGCTACTTCACTTCGGATCCAGCTCTCTGCTAATGCACCTGGGAAAGCAGTGGAAGATGGCTCAAGTCCTTGGGCTCTGCACCCACGTGGCAGACTTGGAGGAAGCTCCTGGCTCCTGGCTTCTGTCTGGCCCAACCCTGACCATTGCAGACACTTGGGGACTGAACCAGTGGATGGAAGATTTCTCTATTTAAGCCTCTCCCTCTCTCTCTCTAACTCTGCCTTTCAAATAAATAAAATAAATCTTTAAAAAGGGAAAAAAGAACTGCCATCTCTGCAGGAAATCTACCACAATAGATCCCCAACTAAATATTGGCTATTATTATTCTGGGATTTACATAAACTTTGGTTGGAGGTGAGATCACAGGGCATAAATATTGGCAGGAACTTAAGAGGGCAAAGTGTGACAAGAAGAATTTGAAAAAAATTTTTTAAAAGAAGACCTGGAGGAAGAAGAGAAGGAAGAGTATATAGAGGGGAAAGCAAAACAAAAGAAAGAGAATCACTGGAGATAAGACAGAAGACACTCAGAGGCCAAGTGTCACACAGGGTGAAGTCTAGAGAGATAGGCCCGGTGTCAGAGAGTCAGAGAGAAGTGTAAGAACAACAGAATCTTAGAAGCAATTTGGATGTTTATGAATAAGTTCAATAGAAACTTCTCCTTAGTCTCCCACAAAAATACAGTCATTAGATGAATGCTTTGTGTGAAAGCAGTGTGTGTGTGTGTGTGTGTGTGTGTGTGTAGTGAAGAATGTATTAATTTTCTGTTGGATCTCTGCATGAAGAGATGACAGAAGCAAAAACCAGGATATAGGAAGATATGGAAAGAATTTCTCAATTTTTAGAAATCAGGAAGCCTAATTTTTACCATGAGGAACATTTACTTTCTGCCAAGATGGAGTAGTAGGAACACAATTTACCCTCTTGCCTCATACCACTCCAGGAATTTTAAAAAATGATTTAAACACCCATAAAACGACAAAGCAGCAGCAACAAAAGATAATGACTGCTGAGAGGCAGGAACCAAATGAAGTGAAGGTGACAGTGCCCAGCGTACTGCCTTTGGGGGGTTGCCACGGTAACGGCAGAGGCTGGGGCGCTGAGGGGAGCCTGGGAACCCGTGCCACTGGAAGGGAGGAGGTGAGAGTTTGGGGAGACCTATGGAGCGAATGTTCACGTGACACAGCACCAAAGAGAGAAACACCACAGGACGCCCGCAGAGGGCTCCCTGTCAAGTATTCATCAGCACGGGGCAAGTACGTCATGTGCAGAAAGTCCCCAAGGACAAGGAAGGAACAAGTGGGGACTGGTCAGTACAGTGTCCAGTGCTCGCATAGGCTAAGCACCCTGCTGGTTCCCACCAGTCAGACTGGAACTCATGGGGTGTTGGGTGGGGTATTCAGGAAGGTCTATAGTGGTGAATAATTAGCCTAACAAATCATGAAAGCATGACTCAAATGGATCAGGCTGTTGCCAAGAAGTTTTAATTGCATCCCAGAAGCAAAAAATATTCATAGGAATATAAAAACATGCAGTACCCAACAGTATAAAATTTACAGTATCTAGTACTCAAACAAAGATTATTAGGGATGTAAAGAAATGGGAAAACATGACCCATAAATGAGAAATAAACAACCAATTGAAACCAATCCAGAATTGACACAGTTGTTAAAATTATCAGGGAATCAGGCCGGCACTGTGGCTCACTTGGTTAATCCTCCGCCTGCAGCACTGGCATCCCATATGGGTGCTGGGTTCTAGTCCTGGTTGCTCCTCTTCCAGTCCAGCTCTCTGCTGTGGCCTGGGAAGGCAGTGGAGGATGGCCCAAGTGCTTGGGCCCCTGCACCCGCGTGGGAGACCAGGAAGAAGCACCTGGCTCCTGGCTTCGGATCGGCGCAGCGCCAGCCGTGGCAGCCATTAGGGGAGTGAACCAACGTAAGGAAGACCTTTCCCTCTCTCTCTTTCTCTCTCTCTCTCTCTCTCTCTCACTCTCACTATCTATATCTCTACCTGTCAAAATAAATAAAAAAAATTATCAGGGAACCACATTTCAATGGTTATTATACCTGCATTCCATATGCATACCAAATAAAGATAGGAAGATATAATAAAGAGACTAGGATAAAAATTCTGGGGGTCAGTGTTGTGGTGCAGTGGATTAAGCCACTGCCTGTTCTGCTGGTATCCCATGTAAACGCTGGCTCAAGTCCTATTACTCCACTTCCAATCCAGCTCTATGCTAATGTGAAGCTAATGGGAAGCAGCAGAAGATGGCCCAAATACTTGGGTCCCTGCCACCCATGAGGAGACCCTGGTAGAATTTCAGGCTCCTGTCTTTAGCTTGGCCCAGCCCCAGCTTGTTGTGGCCTATTGGGGAGTAAACTAGCAAATAGAAGATGGATTCTCTCTCTTTCTCTCTCTCTCTCTGAAATAAAATTAATCTTTAAAAAAGAAGCTTCTAGAGATAAAAACTACAGTGTCTGTATGAAAATACACACTTCAACTAACAGCAGATGAGACATTAGGGAAGAAAAGATCAGTAATGAACTTGGAGGCAAAACAATAAAAATTATATATATATAAAAAAACACCCTAGAGAGAATGAAAAGGAATAACAAGTAATGAGAAGAGCAGGAGTGAGCAATGGCATTCCATCAAGAAGCCTAATATATGGGTAATGAGTTTCTAAGGCAAGGAGAGAGAGGGACATTAGAAAAAAAAATTTAACATTGTCAAACTGATGAAAATAGTAAACCCACAGATCCAATAAGCTCAATGGAATAAGCACAAGAAAAAGAAAACTTCATAAAAACATTCTATAATCAAATTGTTCAAAACCCATGATAAAGAGAAAATCTTGAAAGCATGCAGAGAAAAATGATATGTTACATACAGAGACATAAAGATGACAGCGTATTTCTCACAGGACACAGTGCAAACAAGAAGACAATGAATGGCTCGCCGGCTACGCCCGCCTAGGAGCGCCTGGGCGCTTTAAGCAGGGGCGGGCCCAGGGGCGGCAGCCCCGGGCGGTTGCCGCGGGGACGGGGCGGGGACGCGGCCCGAGGGCGGAAGTGAGAAAGTTGTCGGCGTCCCGAGGAAGAGTCGTCGGGACGGATCGGTGCGCGCGACGCGACGATGGGGGGCTCGGGCAGCCGCCTGTCCAAGGAGCTGCTGGCCGAGTACCAGGATTTGACATTCCTGACGAAGCAGGAGATCCTCCTAGCCCACAGGCGGTTTTGTGAGCTGCTGCCGCAGGAGCACCGGAGCGTGGAGGAGTCCCTACGCGCACGGGTGTCCTTTGAGCAGATCCTCAGCCTTCCGGAGCTCAAGGCCAACCCCTTCAAGGAGCGGATCTGCAGGGTCTTCTCCACGTCCCCAACCAGAGACAGCCTGAGCTTCGAGGACTTCCTGGACCTGCTCAGCGTGTTCAGTGACAACGCAACCCCAGACATCAAGTCCCACTACGCCTTCTGCATCTTCGACTTTGACGATGACGGAACCTTGGACAGGGAAGACCTGAGCCGCCTGGTCAACTGCCTCACGGGCGAGGGCGAGGACACGCGGCTCAGCGCTTCCGAAATGAAGCAGCTCATCGACAACATCTTGGAGGAGTCCGACATCGACCGGGACGGCACCATCAACCTGTCAGAGTTCCAGCACGTCATCTCACGCTCACCAGACTTTGCCAGCTCCTTCAAGATTGTCCTGTGACAGCAGCCCCCACGTGTCCAAGAACCCGTCCACTGTGGAGCTGCGGCCAAGGGGTACACCTGTGGTGCCAGGGCCGGCCATGCCGGCCCAGCCTGGAGCCGGCACCGTGCCGTCTGGGCCTCGGGCAGGGGAGAGTGCGCCTTGTCAGGGCCTCTCCCCTTCTCACTGCCATCAAGTGCTGTTTCTACTCAACAGTAATAAAGATTTAGAAGTTCTGAAAAAAAAAAAAAAAAAAAAAAGACAATGAATGGTGCACCATCTTTAACATACTTGAAGGGGAAAAAAACCCTGCCAACCTGAAATTATAACTAAACTTGCTAAGTTATCTTTCAAAAATGAACATCAGAAAAAGACATCTTCAGACATTGAGTAGCTGAAAGAATTAATCACCAGCAGAACAACACAATAAGAAATGTTAAAGAATATCATTAATGTACAAGTAAAATAATGGATAGCAATCTGGATCTATCAAAGGACCTAAAAGTACAGAAATGCTAGCCACATGGGTAGAAGTGAAAGATTATTTTTCCTGTTATTTAAATATCCTTAAATGGACTATTTAAACCAAAAATTATAACCATGGTTGTGGAGTGTATAACATAGAAAAGGGTAAAATGCATGACAACAGCATATAGGATGGAAGAAAAGAGAAGCCTACTACGTAATGTGGTGTAGTATCACTGGAAGATAGACTGAAAAGCTAAAGGTGCGTACCACATGCTCTAAAGACACCCATAAAAATGACAGAGTTATAGATAGTAAGCCAATGAGAAACATAAAGTGGACTTACAGAAATATTCAACTAATTGGAAAAAGCATAAATAGGAAATGGAACACAAAACACATAGGACAAATGGAAAACAAATAGCAAGATGATCAATTCAAATCTAAGCATGCAAGTCTCACATTAAATGAAAACTATTTAAAGAAACCAATTAAATTCAGAGATTGTCAGATTTAGATTAAAAAACAAGAACCAATTATGTGCTTCCCACAAAAAAAAATGCACTTTAACTATAAAAACACAAATATATTAACAGTAAATGGATAGAAAAAGACATACCATGCTGTCAGCAGTCAAAAATAAACTTTTACTGGCTGCATGATTGTCAGGAAAAAAGTGTACTTCAGAGCAAAACAAAAATGTTAACAGGCACAAAGAACATAATTTGATAATGATAAGCAGACACATTTATAAAGAGGATGGAACAATCCTAAGTGTTTGTGTACCTATTAACAGAACTTCAAAATACAGGACACAAAAACTGAGGAACTAAGACAGGTGTGGTGAGTTAAGCCACTGCGTGGGAACCCCGCATTTCTTATCAGAGTCTAGTTTGAGACCTGACTACCCTGCTTCCATTCCTGCTAATGTGATCCTGGGAGACAGCAAGTGATGGCTCAAGTGTTTGAATCCCTGCCACCCATGTGCAAGACCTAGGTGGAGTTTCAAGCTTCTGGCTTTGGCAGGGCCCAGCTCTGGCTGTTGTCGGTGTTTTGAGAGTAAACCAATAGATGGGAGATCTCTCTCTCTCTGTTGCTGTATCTTTCAAATAAAAATAAACTCTAAAAACACTGAAGAGAGGCCAGTGCTTTGGCATAGCAGATAAAGACACTGCCTGCAGTGCCGGCATCCCATATGGGCACCTGTTGGAGTCCTGGCTGCTCCATTTCTGATCCAGCTCTCTGTTATGGCCTAGGAAAACAGTAGAGGATGATCCCAAGTCCTTGGGCCCCTGCACCCACATGGAGACTAAGAAGCTCCTGGCTCCTGGCTTTGGACCACCACAGCTCTAGCTGATGCGGCTATCTGGGGAGTGAACCATTGGATGGAAGACTCTCTCTTTTTCTCTCTCTTGTTCTCTGCCTCTGCCTCTTTGTAACTCTACCTTTCAAATAAATAAATAAATCTTTTTTTTTTTTAAAAAGAGTTTCAGTTTAAAAAAGAGTAATTTACTCCTACTTAAAGACAGATTGCCTTACATGTAACAGCTACACACAAAAAATTATAAGATTGTTCTTGGTTTTACAATGACAAAGAAAAACATTGATATTCTCCAATTGAACAAGGCATGCAAGGGTTTTTTATGTTGCTGTTTATTTCTTAAAGCAATGAGAGAAAAATTACTTACTGGAATATAAAGAGCAGAGCTGAATGCACATGCTGATGATGGAGAAGGCAATTTTTCTTTTTTTAAAAGATTTATTTATTTATTTGAAAGGCAGAGTTACAGAGAGGCAGAGGCAGAGGCAGGAGGCAGACAGAGAGAGGATTTCCATCTGCTGGTTCACTCCTCAGATGGCTGCTTCTGCTGGAGCTGTGGTGACCCAAAGCCAAGGGCCAGGAGCTTCCTCCGGGTCTCCCATGCGGGTTCATGGACTTGGGCCATCTTGTACTGCTTTCCCAGGCCACAGCAGAGAGCTGGACCGGGAGAGGAGCAGCCAGGACCAGAACTAGCACCCATATGGGATGCCGGCGCTGCAGGCAGAGGCTTTACCCACTACACCACAGCGCTGGCCCCAGGGATATTTTCAAAGAACCAGTATTTTCCCCCTTCTATCTCCATCTGATGTTAATCAAAAGGTACCATTGGCCATCTAGTAAAGAAGAAAAAGAAAAGGAGGAGGAAAAGAAAATGGAAAGCATGCAATATGCTTGTGCAAATACACCTGTGGCTTTATGTACAATAAGGAATGGAGAAGAGGAAAAATTAAAGAATAGAAACAACTATAGTAGTCAGGATGTGATGGAACCAAATTGTGGTTTTCTAATTGAGGATGTATTCTTGGTCTGGAAGAAAATGGTCTGATACAAAGCATCAGGTTCTATTTTTAGTGGGCACCTCCTGCCTGTTGGTGGGACGTGGCGAGTGTAGCTTCCTCCTCCATGTCCAACCGTGCATGTGGGTCTGTTTCATTGATTAGCTACCTGTCAAATTGGAATCTTATCTGCCTCATTGACAAACCCTGACATTCACAGTAGGCTTTCATGGGTTTACTAAGGGGTGCAGGCCTCTTCATCTTAAACTGCACCACAGAACTATTCTGCAAATTAATGTGAACACTGTTCTCAGTCTCTTGACTCCTTCCTGGGGCTTGTCATTGACCACGGTGGGTGCTGGAGTCTCCTCAGCCCTGACTGCACAAAAGAGGTACCAAGTCTGTACCACAAGCACACAAGCAGCACCAGGAGCAGCAGATTTGACTATAATCTTAAAGGGCAGGAAGGTCCTCTGCTCTAATCTAGGACACAAATGTATACTGGGTAATTGCATGTAAAGGCAATTCAGGGGAAAGATGACTGTGGAGTGTGTCTTGCTAGCACAACATCAGTGGTGAGGAGCTCCCAGGGGGTGGGGCTGCCTCACCCTCTCACCACGTGAGAGGTTAAAGTCAGCGGCAGGCTCTGATCCCCAGACTCAGTGAGCCTGGCCGTGTCTTTATTGTTCTGTTGAAGTCTTGTGTCCCGGCTTTCAGAGCAACAGCTCTGCCACCAAGTCATGGGCTTTGCTGGAGTTAAATGGTTGGCTGAAGAACATCTCAGGCCACTGCGAAAGAGGAAATTCTCGGGTGTTTGATTGCCATCGAGTAGCCCCTGGTGCCTGGAAACTGTAAACTACTGATAAGTCTTTGGGAAGGAAGACCAAGTCCAGTACAAGCACCCTACCAGCAGGCAGGGTGCCTAGGACACAGAGAATTCTAGCAAGTTAGGAAAGCTCTGTCTGTGGCTGCAAGTGCCCCATGGCTCATGTTTCTTTAACTGTGGTTTAAGACCACCTGTTTCAGAATAATCACATTTTGGGGTCCAGATAATGGTGTTTTGGATCAAATTTATTGCAGCTGGGAGCTGGAATGTGCACACATCACAAGCTTCTCCAGTGAGCCTTGGGCAAGGCAACTCACTGTTTAAGACCTGTTGTTTGAAGACGCTCACTGGCTGCTGGTTCTGAATACCGACAGGTGCTGTCACTGAGCTACCAGTGGAGGAGGGCAAGGAGCAAGGTATAAATAAGCACCTGGCCTATCCCTCCTCACCTCTAGGCCCCAGGCATTTGCTCTCTCTCCTAGACACTGTACTCCCTAGTATTTTATCCCTCACGATAAGACTAGCTTTACATTTTCCTACTTTTCACTTACAGGTACAAACTGCAGCCAATAGAAGTAGTGGTTACTTCAGCATCTTTTGAAAAAACTGTCAGGGTTGCCAATTTCTCTTTAATCCCTTCCTCGTCCAACTCTCTCTCTCGTGAAAAATTTTGAATTCAGTGCATACCATGGAAGAAAGATGGTAGAAAAGAGTGGGAAGATAATAATAAACCTGGAGGCTCGGATCAGCTCTCCACTGTATTAATCACTGCCCTACCCTATCACCCCTCATACCCACTCAGGAATAGACTCGCTGCCTCACCTACACTATCCGAAGCATTGGACACAATCATACTTTTCTCTGCTTTTGTATATTCTTTTAATCAGAGAGATACTTGGGGAGATGCTTGCAGACCTGACACCCAAACGGAGCTGTTTATTGAGGAAAGACGATGTGAAGCTGAGTCACAAGAAATTCTGCTCTTAGCAACCCTAACAACCATCCCTCCACTTTCTTGGAGTTCCTGTGAGTTATTTGCATCCTGGAAGTTTTGCAGTCATTTCTCTGAGTCCTGTATTTTTCCTTGAATCTGAGTTGGCTTTTTGACATCAATGATGCCAATGCTATTTATAAACCAAAAGAAGAATGTCCACATTCAGCAATATTGGGGTTTATCATGAAGCAATAGGTGTTGGGTTAAGGTAACTAAATGTTGCATCCCAGTGACATGAAATCAATCAAAATTGTACTCCATGGGCCCTAAAAGCTCTATGTTCAATTTTACCCTCATATTTTGAGTGTCTTGATTTTATTAGGGCGTATTACCTCTCCGGGCATCACTAAAAGCTTTTTTCTTGTCACTCTTCACAGAATTCTATCAACAGACAGTGCCTCCATTAGTTACCTGACAGCTAAATTTAGTTAGCTGTATATCCAGAATCTTCTGCTCTGATAGTTTGATGGTTCTGGGAATTCTGCCAATGGTATTAATTTGAATCTTTGCCTTCTCAATATGGCTCTTTCCTTTCCTGAATCCTCCCATCATCTTTCACAGGATGAGGTGACTCACTTTTGTCCTTTGAGGTCCTACTCAGTCATGTTTGCTGGCTTCAAAGTCTCTTCACCCGAGAGAATTTGCCGATGGGCATGGAGTGCTTTAACCAACTCTGGTACATTGAGGTAATTCGGGAGCAGGGATGGTATAGGAGTCAATGGAGCAGAGGACAGCATGGTGTTTCGTGACATATCCACAACCTTGTTCACTCCCTGAATAGGAAAGGTATTTTACAAAGCCTCCATCTTGGAGACAAGCTGTCCCTTTGCTGCTGACTCCAATAGCCCCTGAGTCCCGGGAGATTCTGTTCCCTGGACATGCCAGTGCCTTCCTGCATAATGGATGGCACAGTCCCCTTGCTGATTTCCCCAGCTGCAAAGTCTCAGTTTGCCCTTTACAGTATCCCCATCTCTCTACATCCTCAGCCCTTATCATCTTCAGAACCCACAGCAGGGGCTGGCAGGTGCTGGGCACACAGGGCTAGTATGACAGCTTGACAGTTAACCACCTTCAGCCCTCTGAGGTCCTGTTTAGCCACCCTTACTTAGCACATGTCTGTGCTGGTTGGTGGTAGGTTGCCTGCTAAATTTTGTTGTTGTTGGTTCATCTCATTGGTTGTGTATATTTGGGTATTATATTCTGTCTCCCAGTGAGAATAATCACAGTTAAATTTCTTGAACTTTCTCAGTAAGCCAGAATTTTTCAAGATTCAACTCACTGAATGTTTAAAACAATCCTTTGAGGTAGGTACTATTACCCCTACTTTTCAGATGAGAAAACTGAAACTTAG